ACTTTCTTAACTTCCACAGTATTGACTGGAGTATTGATATCCTACATTATTAGGAAATGAAAACTCCAAGTAAGGACACTGCTAATTTAACATTTACTTTTTTAACCTTCATGGTATTGACTGGAGTATCAATATCCTACCTTATTCATTCAGAAATAGAAACTCTGTCTTACCTTTTGATTACCAACTTCCAATGAGTAATTAACAGCCTTTATAAGTGCCTCTATTACAATGCGCCCCTATAGAAGTAAACAACCAAGCTTTAATAAAGTGCAGTTTAGAGATAATAAATGTCTCTATAAACCCTTGAAGGAACACTGTAAGCTTGCAAAACTGTAAAAGCGAATTGGATATGATTAGCAGATTTTACACCTGTAACCAACCAATGCTTACAGAGGGAGGGGAATCACTGTAACAAAGCTTTTCTAAGCGACCGATGAGCTGATTGGTCACAGGAAAAATTATGCTTACAGCCTGTGGTAGGTTTGCCATTATTCACTAGTATGATAAATTGGCAAAATACATATTCTTTTTATTTTTTGTTCGCACTGATTCTCATCTTTATTTTGGCCTAAAACAGCTTATTCTACATACACATAGCCTTGGCAGCTGAGTGTGTCTAAAAATCAACAATTTAAAAAAATCAAAAATAGTTCACCAATTAAATTTGGATAATTTTTGGTAAATATACTAAAAGTCAGACAATAATCCAGAAAACGTTATGGAGTTATTGTATGATGGTAGGTGATAGAGATCATACCAGACACCTGACTTCTTTTTACCCTGTACTTCACTATGGGCAAACTTACAAAACATTCTACCTGCATCTCTACCTTAAGACACATGTACATACACAAAAGATGAATAATGTAATAAATGTTATAACCTCCAAAGTATTAACGTTGCACTCTGAGAGCATTCATATAGTTTTATTGTGGTCTAGAGAGTATTATGTGATATATTTGATGGTCTGAGTTTAAACAAATTGTGAAAAATATATACACTAAGCATTCAAATTTCAACATTTTCTGACACGCCTACTTGCTTGTTTGTGAATTCAATTTTTTTTGCTAACACCTTCAAATCCTGGTTAAATCCGTGTTTTTACCAGAGTAGCCTGACATGTAGGCATGAGTAGGCCCTCGCTGGCAAAACGGCATCAGACCTTGCCAGTGCCTGACAGAATAGTATTTGTTTCGTCTGCAAGATCAATACTGAGAATTTGTGAAGTTCACGCCTTCTTGCAATGAGTTTCAATGAATATTCATTTTGGTGGTAATGATAACACCGTCAATCAAAGCCGAGTTTGCATTGTCGGCAAAAATCACAGACTGTTTTCAACAAGATTGAGCGGAAATTTGCCAGCACCTAATCACATATTATGTCAACAAACAAATAAACTCTGTCGTGAATGGTTACTCGTTGATGGCTGTCACTATCTGACATTCCTGCAATATGATTGGTACCGACAAAAAATCGTCAGGGGTAGTGAAAAACTAGTTCGTTCTGTCAGGCATGTGTTGGGTTTAGAGCCCCACGAAGGATGCAAAACAAACATGCCAAATAACATGTCAAATGATTTCAGAATGCAACTTTAACAGTACATATAAACAATGTGTCAATCTCAGTACACAATCTCGAGTAATGAAAATTTATTTCTAGGTTTTATGCATTAAATTATTTATATATTATTTATTAATACAGCAATTTTTCTTTTTTCTTCTGACTGATACATACCTTGGTATATTTTGTTCAACCATTGCCTCATCACTATACCTTGGCAAATCCTGTCCAGTCAGTGTGTTTTAAAGTGCGCCCTCTTTGGCAATCGACAGAACTTAATTTGTTTTATTTCCATTGCCTTAAGCTACAGCACTTTTGACTAAGCGTATGTTTTAAGAGGTATGTCCAATCAGATCCACAAATTTCAACAAGATCTAATTCGCAGCCTTTCGCTAGAATCACACACAGGTTTGTGGGGGAATATGTTTACATCAAGTTTTGAAAGATGGCCCAGGTACTCCATAAGCAATAACGCCTTCCCTCTTCCATTGTCCTAGCTAAGTCAATAGGAAAATTCTGCACAATGATGGAATCGTCACTAAATATGTATTTGCAAAAATAAATGCTTTTAAATATTCGATGATAAATACTTATATGATATGATATACCTGTTGTTGTTGACTTTTCACAAAATTGGGCAATGATTTCATTATTTTCTCTGAGGTGAACTCGCCAAGAGCTGGTCTATGAAGTACTGCCTGTAAACAAACACAGATACCCGGTAGTTAAAACACATTGAGAAAATAACTGCACCTTATTAATTATAGTTAATTTTCAAAATATTTTGTATCTTGCTATTCTGGGAATACAAATTTAGCTATTTTGACCCTCAATTTATTTTGCCATAACAGGAGGAGGTATTTTGCCGTAACATGGTAACAAGTATGCCTTCATTGAAATCACGCTCATTGTGAAATAATGTGTATATCTTTCTAATGGTTCCATCCCACAGTACAAGTACATTTACATGTATGTGTGAACTTTTAATGATTGTAACTGATTAATAATTCAGAAATTGTTTGTCATTTTCTGTATCTTTTAGTACTATATTGTTATTTTATAAACATTTGATAGTGTATTGAATGGAAATAATAATTGAAAACTCACCCATGGTGCTGCCGGGATAAGTATTGATAAACATAATAGATCATGACAACATCCATCAAGTAGTTGTTTACAATTAACCAATTGATGAGACAAGTGTTCTGAATTTAGTTCTAAATTTGAACTGGTCGGACACAGCTCCATTGACTGTTGTAAGCTATACAACTTATGATGTAAATGAAATAATTTTGATTCTAACTTCGCCTGTTGTGATAAAAAAGATTTGAAAATAGTTCAAATGAAGATTTTTCTGGTATAGAAATCTGACACAAATAGTCGCCAAAAACCTCTTGTGAGCTGGAGAGCTAGTCTCTACTGTTATCGCATCCACTGTACATGTTCACCTGACTTATGTTACCATGGTGATTGGAACAGTGGATCCAATGACAAAAGAGAATGGAAAGCTATGTGAGGGGGAAAAGAGTCTTATGGTTCTCTTGCTCTTAACAAGACAGCAATAAACATCCGAAGCATATTGTGAAGATTTTGGTCACAAGCGATCATGAGAAAATATATTAGGCTGACAATGTTGTAGCAGTGTTTGGCTTCAATGTAACAGTGACCTCATGTGACCAACTATAGTTGCTGTGTTCATGTAACAAGATACTTCATTGAAGCAGTGCACTCTCATGAAGTGATGAAGTGTCATTATTGTACATATAATTAAGATAATAAACCCCCTCGTTTACTTATAAACAAACTCTCGTCCTTTATTCATAATTTTAGTGCATAACTAATACCCAACACTCATTTCGCTGTAGAAATGACCTCAAATATAAATAGTGGTGACAATCAATGCAGGCTTTCCAATAGTATTGTGTTAAGACCACTTATTTGTGAAATACTCACCACTTGTTTTAAATTAATATGATTTGTTGAACCTGAACAAACATCCAATACATTAATAGAATCTTGATATGTCTCTTTACAAAATGGATCCATAAACAATAACGGTTTAGATACATTGTCAGCACTGTAACACTGAGAATTGAAACAACATATGACAAATATGAACAAACTGTTTACTTGTTATGAAATGACAAAAACTGAACTACTAATAAGTATACTGATCAAATTCTTGTTCTTATTACCCCACAAAAAGCTCTGCTTAGTTGAACAAAGTTTTTTTCTGAAGGTCTAATATATTTTGTGGGATGAATGGAATTCATCTTAATCCTTTTAAGTGCCAGATATTTATTTCCCGTCAAAATTTCAGTGCAAATATTTTCACATTTTGTAAAATTTTTCATCATTATTTTGGACCATATGAACAATTTCACATATTGCTTTTAGTTTTTGATCAAAAGTTTTGTCAATTTGTGTCAACATTTCATTTCAAAATAATTTTGTAGATGGTGACAATAGTTTACAATGGTACTCAAAGGATTCAATTATTTCATATTTAGGCTAATCAAATATCACATGGTTGGAAAGTAACTGGTGTTTGTGATATAATCTCAAACTTCTGCTACAAACACTACCGGTATCATAGTCCATTCGTCAAGCTATTGTAAACAAAACTTCATTGGTATAATTCATGAAAATGTGATGGTTTAATTGTTAAAATCATTCATCTCAATGAATAGAAATTAGTGATATTGGACTAAACATTAACACTATCACTGATGGAAACTGTGGTCATTTGCCACACAAGTTCCACAAGTGATGACAAATACATGTTCTGATTATGCTCTATAAAATGTATAGATATAGTTCAAATTATAAAGCTATATACTAATTTTCTGTTTTCTGCATCAAAATTTAGATTATCAATATTCACACCCACCATGAGACAAATAGTTAATACCTCAGTTCAATTAGTTTCTACAGTAAAAGTGCATTATTTTATTAATTTGCCTTGTAAAGCACACAATAGACAATGTTCTTGTGATCGTTTATTTTTTGTTCACAATTAATTTAATTTAATTTCTATCACTAGAATGCTACTAATACAATAAACAAAAACTTGAATGATGAAATAATAACTCACACAGAACTATGACAGACCATCCAATTAGTCAGATAGTTCATTTACATATATTTACAGAAATAATAAATTACTCACCTCAATATTTTTATACAGCTTATGTCTACTAGATTCTATATTTTCAATTAAATTTGTTAATTGCGATCTTTCTAATGATACAACAGGTCCTCGAGTTTCAGTAGCAAGTAAGTCCCTGGAAAATCAAAACATCATATATTCACAGGCTTACATAAAAACCAATGGTGCAGTGTTAACCTTTAACAAGATACTTCCATATCATACTATGAATATTGGTACAACACAACATTATCATTGCATTAAGGGAAAACACAATCAGAAAAAAGGTTGTTTCAGGCATACTTAAAAAAATCTTTCAAATTAAATTATAAAATAACTAATATCTTTCTTCACAATATTTAATAATAGCAGCAGGAGCTACTCAGGTCAAGCGCTATGATAATGTTCGTATATACACATACCAGGAGATCTCGGTTTTCAAACTTTTTCCCATACAAAGACTAAAAAGCTGATAACAGTCACATATAAATATGATGCTAATAACTGCAGACTGTTATAAACTATTATCATTCATGGATTTATCTAACAGCACATATGGAAACAGTATGAACATTAGCTAATTAATATGCATATAATGTTATATACTTTTATTAAATATTTGTCTATATAAGCAGCAATTATGTACAAAGTTTCAACCTATTTGAGTATACAGCTGCCAATTTGTTCTTACAATGCATCATAACTGAACTTACTGTTTTGTAACAGTAAACAAATTATGTCATAATCAGCAGATCTTCACCAATATGCACCTAAGTTTACAATTGGCCAATCATTTACCTGAGTTGACCAGTCACAGCAGACATAGAATTCTCAACTTCTAACAATATTTTACTTCTTGAACTCAAACCTTCTGAGTGTAATAGTATCTGTTGAAGAGAAAAAGTAGTGAAATTTAGACTTGCTCAAAAGATCAGAATGTAGTGGGGAACTGTAATTCTTACTCAATATTTTTCATTATTTTTTACATTTCCTTCTTTTTTTACTTGCCCATTAATGAAAAATTTCGGAAACTCTTTTGTTTTGAAAATAATAAATAAATATTGCCATGACGGCCAATTTTTTTTTTAGTTTTTGAACCCTTTTATCATTGACTCCTTTTGTATCAATAAACAAAACATTTGATTTCGCATGCATAAGTTGCTTTGCATAGTATGTGGGACCCACATGCACAGTCTTGAGTGCTGTACATACCCGGTAATCTACAGTGGTACATGCCTAGGATAAATTAAATACGCGTGTTTGTTTGTGGAGTCACTCCTCTATAAAGCTAACAGTATAATCTCTCCACAGTGATTTCCACGTACTGTACCTGTCTTTCAAGTTGTATAATTTGTGCTTTCAGTATCTGTACTCTTCTTTCTTCAAACTTTTCTTGTTTTTTATCTGTTATTAGCTGTGTATATAATGATCTATAAATACAAACATATAAATGTCTTATTGCAATATATACTGTAAAATACTTTATTTTCACTGAAGGAAAGATTCAGTGAAAGTAAAATCTAAAGAATATACCTTTTTTTTCTATATTTTGAATTCAAATTGTCAAAAATCAGTTAAAAAAATAAATCCCATACAAACCAATCAAAAAATCTTTTCTGCAAAAATTAATTCCAGCTAATATAAAGTATTTTACAGTGTTGTAGATGCTAGTACAATTAGAGGATATATATGTAGTAACTGCAGTAGTCATTAACAGTGCAGTCTCTTACATGTTGTGTGTTTAATTTACGCGAATGTGGCACCAACACAGTGTACAGCAATTTTCCCCCTACCTCGTTTCACACTCTTCAACCATCAAAATCCAAACACTGCGATAATGAATGAACAAATTTCTTCACAGTGCTACTGTGATTGTACTCTTCATACACACAGATGTTGCATACAGGTAGGGGTACAAATGTATTTAATTTCAAGAGTACAGTCACTGTACATAGTCAAATTATATGAATGTTTCATTATCTGAACTTATTTTCAATTTTAAAATATAGTAATTTAAATGATAAGACAACATGAATTGTAAGTACATGTCATGAACATACCGGTACTAGTAGTACAGTCAAACCTGTATATAGCGATCACACAAGGGATATCATTAAAATGGTCTTTATAGAAATGTGGTCATTATAAGGAAGTTGAATTGTTTTTTCAGGGATCACCTACTCATACATTTGACATTATATTTGTCCAGAAAATATAAGATGTTGCTGTTGCAACAAAATAAACATTTATTCAAGCTGATCAAAATCAAATAAGCTTTACCTAAATGAGGAAATTGAAATTGTTTTATAAACCGAATTATTATTTTTGTCTCTAAAAAAGGACAAAACTGCAAAAACATTGCTGAAAGGGTGGTTGCATAAGACAGGTTGTCTTTAAACACAGATTGTTATGCCTTGATTGGGACTAAAAGTATTTTTGTTTTAATTTTATCAAGGTGAGCAATTCCCATAAAATTCAATTAAAGAAGATTACAGTAATCCTGCAGGAATCCGCTTATAGTGACATTCATGAAAGACATGCGCAACAGATCAAGCATATGGTCACGTGATGAAAACCACTCACGGCATGTACTACATCGTAGGAGAACTCAAACAACATACCAACAGACACAGGGGACCCTCTGCAAGCCTGGCGAATGGGTAAAATGTTTTTTTCTCACAGGCACCCACAGGAATCAAACTCAAAATCTCCCTGAATAGACATACTAACTACTAGTATTAGGACACACGTCAGGTCCCTTAATACAAAACTTAGTATAAGATGGGTTAATTCAGTTCATGATTTCAATACGTCAGTCAAGGATGGTCATTAGGAAGACTAAAAAAACTTGCATTAGTAGCTTATTGAAATTCCCCTATCTATGTAACCATGGTAACAATGATCAGGAGAGAATGAAACACCATTTGAAGGGCAAAAAACAAGTTCCCAACAAGATAGTCTGCAGCCATTTGTGTCTAAGATATATTATCTACTGGTAAAAGCAAAATAATGGTTGTTGAGTTTTAGAGACATCATAACTGTCTTGAGTCATCGCATTATAAGATTGTTTTTGAAGTATACATTCATAATCTTCTTAATTGCAAAATCACATGTACCATACTGGCAGAATATGTATGTTTTTAATCTGTTTTGTGCATTGCATCATTATTCAACAAAAAATACATTTGCAATGAACAAAAAACCTTGAATTAATGCCATGTTGTATTATCTAAAACATAATAATTTATTGAGAGTATTCATTTTGAAATGAACATATAGTCAAATGTTATTCTAATTTCAAGAAAAAAATGAATGCAAAATCTCTTAATAAACTCCCATTGTATTATAGATTGCAGCCATGGATGAATAAACCAGACATATTCTTTAAATTGTTCAAAGAAATAGAAAACATGAGGAATAATTTGTGAAGTGCTTTAAATTAGTTGTATAATTAAAATTGTTGTACTGGGCTATTTTGTATTTTTTGTCAGCATGTTGTCTATACTTAACAAAAAAATGAGTCAACCTCCTTGGTATCTAGATGTAACTAACAAAAAAATACAATTCATTAAAAATACCTTAATTCTTCAATCTCTTGTTTCAGTTTCTCATTTTCTTCCTTAAGCGTCTGTAAAAAAACACACAGTGTAATGAAATATTCAGAAAACATTTACATCAATGTTTATATTGAGTGATCTCCTTAATCAGAAATATTAAATCACACAATTACAATTATAAATTCTGCATCTTTAAATGTCTTTATCTGCACTTCCGAGGGGCGTTCAATAAATAATGCCCCTGACCCACTTCCAGTTGTCTGATCTAGATGAAATTTTACATGTGTAATGATTCAAATCTCTATGGGTTACGTTGCAAAAAACAGCTCTGAACTGATTGCGGTTTCTGATTTACAGGTGTTTTAACTGAGTCAGGTATGAAATGGAGCCAGTTGAATGTCACGCAGTGATCCGGTTTTTGAATTTGAAAGGTCGCACACCAAAGAAGACTTTCGATGAAATGAAAGAATCTTATGGTGATAATCCCCCATCATATGACCTTGTAAAACGCTGGCATCGTGAATTCAAACATGGCTGGAAGTTTGTGGAAACAGCTCCCAGACCTGGTCGTCCCTCTTCTGCCATTGATGATGCATCTGTTCGTGAAGTTGAGGCAGCCATTTTGACGCATTACTGTTCGCCAAATAGCCCAAAAGGTTAAGATTAGTACAGGGTCTGTGAAAACTATCATTCATGACCATTTGCATATGCATAAGGTGTCTGCCAGATGGATTCCCAGGTTGCTCACACCTTTCCAGAAGTAAGAACGTGTTGAGTGCTCACGGATGAATTTGGAGATGTGCCAAGAAGATGAGTCAAAGTTTTTCAAAAGACTGATTACACAGGATGAAACTTGGGTCATCACCAAGATCCAGAGACCAAAGCCCAGTCAATGCAGTGGAAGCACTTGGACTCACCACCTCCAAAGAAGGCAAGGGTCAAAGTATCCTCTTCTTACAGGACAACGCTCCGGTCCACAACTCGCATGTCGCCAGATCAGAAGCACGGGCGTGTGGCTATGAAATCCTCCCCCATCCCCCTTACTCCTTACTCTCCTGACCTTGCACCCTTTGACTTTCATCTTTTCCAAGCCATGAAGTTGTTTTTGAAAGGAAAGTGTTTTCCAGATGATGCAGCCTTGATTTCTGAAGTTACGACATGGTTTGAGGACCAACCTGGGGTGTTCTACAAAAACCGGAGCTGCATCCAAAGATGGAAGAAATGCATAACTCTGGGTGGTTCCTATGTAGAGGAAGACTAATAACTGAGCCAACTTTCATTAATCTCCTGCTATGGGAAATGGGTCAGGGGCATAATATCCAAGTTTGAACAAGCAGCCTGTCGGCTGAGATAGCTCCGCTGTTATCATTAGAAAATGAACAATATACATAGTATCAAGGCAATCAGACTTGCGGTTTTCAACAAGAATTCAAAAATATCACTTTTCACCTGAGAGAGGTCCAGATGTAGTACCTATATATGTAATATCGAAGCAACTGGACTTGTGGTTTTTAACAAGAAGTGGAAAATATCACTTTTTACCAAAATTACAAAAATCTTCACCAAAATTAGAGAATTGAAGATATCATCAAATATCATGAACAAATGTAAGAGAGGTATACCCAAGGTACATATACACCAAGTATCAAAGCATGCAGGCTTGTAGTTTGCAAGAAGAAGTCGAAAAAGTAAAAAGGTGACACGGACAACGACAGACGCTGATGGACAATCACTCATATGATAAGCTCCACTTGACAAAGTCGACAGCGGAGCTAATAAAAACTGTTAGAAACAAAAAAAACGATAGAAATTTCTTTTTCATATACAATGTACATTTCTCTTAATCTATGTAAGGTACACAGTATAATTAGATTAAGTGAATGAAAATAGTATTGGTTTCATTTGTTGTACTCTTCTATTGTACTGGATGATGTTTGTAGGAATACGACTTTGAAAATGGGGAGGTTCTTGACAAAATGTACCGAGTAGTAAGGCTGCTACTCAGTGATTTATTGGTTATTTGTTGTACCGTAATATCCTTAGTATGCAAATCTATAATTAATATTTTGATAATTCTATCATGTCATTTTTTTCAAATGTATATTTGAACTGCACAAAGGTGGTCACTATGGGCAGGTGGTCTTTATATACAGATCACTTTACAATGTAAACTGCATTGGAACTGCACAAAGGTGGTCACT